AGATCAATAGGATCCACAAAAGACCAATAATCTGCTATCAAATTCTTCCATTGATTCTCCAGATTTCCCCATGCAGGATTTTGATCCTTATATTTGCTGGTGAAGGTCTATGCAACACATTCTTTAAAATATCCATACCCAAATTTTCTCTCTGAGGTAGCACTGTCCTACTGTTGTTCATCAATTTGCTCAAGTGGGTACCAGTAACGTCTCCATTGTGAGACTTGTTGTTACTGTTTTAGGCATATCGAATACACCACGAGGAGCTTGCCAGGCTTTGCCGTGGGGGCAGGGTACTCTTGGTAGCTTGCCGAACTCTCCAAGAGGGATGGAGGAGTGGAACCCACCTTAGACGCATGCAAGGCAAACACCCTATATCAACTAAATGCCATTTAGCTATGTGTTTACTGCATTGTATCCAATGCCAAGATACTATTCATGCTGTTGGTCATTCAAATGACAAATAGCTTCTATGTTATAACAGCAAGTTTATTATACTTTTAAGCTAAAAATTGTGTCTTTTTTTCTTCAATTTATTATCATTCTTGACTTTGTGCTTTCCTTATGAAATTTTATTTTGAATTATAGAATTAGAAAGCCTAGCATACTTGAATTCCATACAAGGTATAAAACAGGACTTCAGTATAATTTTATTCATGATTAGTTCATCTGAAATATATATACTTGTCTTTACTGACTAAATGTGTAAAAAAAATTGCTTACTTTTCCATGACTAGGTTTCTTTTTTTTTAATTTTTCTTTTCTTATTAGTGAAACACCATGAGGTACAGTTGTAGATTTACAATTTTTTGTGCTTGGGTTTGGTTATACAATGATCAGATACCCATCCCTCCACCAGTGCCCATTTTCCACCACCATGGATAATATCCCACCCCCCATTCCCCCATTCCCCCCTGCCTCTGTGGCAGGGCAATCCCCTGTGTTCTCTCTCTCCTTTTGGGTGTTGTGGTCTGCAAAAGAGGCATTGAGTGGCAAACATGTTCAGTCCATAGTCTACTTTCGACATGCATCTCCCCTCCTGGGAGGATCCTCCAAACACCCTTTATTTGGTGTTCCCTTCTCTATCTGAGCTGCCCTTTCCTCTAGAATGCCCGACTGGCCACTAAGCTATGGAGTAATCCTCCTGGTGCTGATCTCAGCTATTCTTGAGTATTAATCTCATATTTTGTTACTTTATATCCCCCAGATGAATACAATCTTTCTATGTCTATCCCTCTCTTTCTGACTCATTTCGCTTAACATGATACTTTCCATGTTGTACCACTTGTATGTAAATTTCATGACTTCATCTTTTCTAAGAGCTACATAGTACTCCATTGTGTAAATGTACCAAAGTTTCTTTAACCAGTCATCTGTTCTTGGGCATTCAGGTTTCTTCCAGTTTCTGGCTATTGTAAAGAGTGCTGCAATGAACAAACAAGTGCAGATGTCACTTCGACTATACATTTTTGCCTCTCTGGGATATATTCCCAGGAGTGGTATTGCTGGGTCAAAGGGGAGCTCAATTTCTAATTTTTTGAGAATCGTCCATACTGTTTTCCAGAAGGGCTGAACCAGTCGACATTCCCACCAACAGTGAAGGAGTGTCCCTTTCTCGCCACATCCGCGCCAGCATCAGCATCGGTTGCTTTTGTTCTTTTGACTGTGGGCCAGTCCATGACTAGCTTTCTTATCAATTCCCATACCACCACAAGATTTTATAATAGATTTCTATATCAATGCTAGGAATTCATGTTGTTCTGATTAATCTACTGACTTTTTCCCCTTGTTATTTGTCATTGGTTTGGATAACTATATTATTGATATAAGCTGCTCATGGAGAAAGACGTCCCTATATTTAAAGTGAAACAATTAGAATATCATATGTGCTTATCAAAGAGATAAAAATTTTATGCCAATATTTTTTCTGCTAACATTTGTATAGATATGCTTTAAAAAATAACAATTATCCCTCTGGAACAATAACACTTAGTGCTTGCTCTCTTTGATAAAATGGAACCCTATTTCCTTCTAAGTTCTTTTTTTCTGAACCAAAATAGTTTAATTTAAAGAAATTTACTTAGAGAAATGTGAGAAAAGGGCAAGCGAGAGATACATGTTCAAGCTCTCAGTCCTTTAATTAAGCCGTAGTCTCCTCTTTTTGTTAACATTTGATTAATACTGAGATGGAAAAATTGTTAACATTTGATTAATACTGAGATGAAAAATTATCAATCTACCTAAAACAGTGCAAGAGTAAAGGTATTTTTGACTCTTTTTGAAATGGCAACATAAACTTTGAAGAAAAGCACTTCTTTCTATGATCCACCATAGATCACATAGATACACGTAGAAGTGGATCTTTCTATGATCCACTTCTCTCTACGATCCATATAGTTCCATAAAGACTTGAAGGTAGACTTGTAGTAGATGCTCAATACTATTTGTTATTTGCATGAATACCATACGGGGATTTAGAATTAATGAGCCAGTTAGTAGATTAACAAGGTACACAAATAATATTTCTTCTAACATAAGTACCATTCACTTCATATCATTAAGATTATTTTTAACTGTTATGAAAATTTTTAATTTTAAAAGTATAGCACTGTAGCATTGTCTTCCCGTTGTTCATCGATTTGCTGAAGCAGGCACCAGTAATGTCTCTGTTGTGAGACTTGTTATTACTGTTTTTGGCATACTGAATACGTCAAGGGGAGCTTGCCAGAATCTGCTGTGTGGGCAGGATACTCCCCATAGTTTGCAGGGCTCTCCAAGAGAGATGGAGGAATCGAACCCGGGTCGGCTGTGTGCAAGGCAAATGCCCTACCTGTTGTGCTATCTCTCCAGCCCTTTAAAAGTATATTCAATGCTTATTAGAAAAGAATGTTAAACACACTTTTTTGTTTAATTCAAGTACTCTATGTTGTAGTAATATTTCCTCCCTAATTTAAAAATGGGTGCAAAACTTCCAGAATGTCCAGTATCTTTCCTTGACCCTAGATCTCTTCTGATTCTTCTTATTCACCTGCTCATGACCTGAGAGCAAATTCCTATAGTTAAATGTCTCTCCACAAAAAAGACAAAAGAAAAAAGAAAATATATATGTATATATGAAACACTTTTCAGTGAAATTACATGTAGTCTTGAATTTATTACACAATAACCTGAGAATGTCAGGGATAAGTGTATAGGAGAGGCATAGAGAAGACACAAGTTTTGTCTGAACTAGAAATTTGTTTGAGCTGAGACATATATAGAGACTCTATTCTGGAAATGTCAGATATTTTATATAAAGACAGAAGTTTTTAAAACCAAATAATCAAAATAAAATAAATAAAATGCTCCTTTCTCAAAGTGTTTTGCTAAAGATTCTGTTATTAGATTTATAAACTAACTTCACCCATCTCACATCAGAATGAGTCTCATCTAAATTTTATATTCCATTGAAAATTGGATATCCTTTCAAGTACAGAACTTAATAAGTCACAAATACTAAGGATATAAAGAAATAGCTAAATCTCCCACATCTTAGTCTACTTGGAATATGATATTCTGAACGCAGTTTGACATCTATAGAATCATGTACTTTTAATTGTTTTCTACCTTTTGAGAAGTCAAGTTGGGAAATAATAAGCAAAGTGAGCTTTAACTTCCAATATATGAGATTTAACTGTTTTATGAGAGAGCTATAACTCCAAGTTATGTGCTCCTAATTATAAACTGAGGCTGAAAATAATCACCATTTATTGTTCTGTGAAGTTACAGCTGGGCTCAGCATGAAAGGCAATGAACAATATAAGATTTTTCCTCCCCAAAAAACTAAGTTAAATTTTCAGCTTCTAAATTTCAAGTATGTCAAGAAAACTCTACCAGAAAGTGAAGCTTTCCTTCTAAAAAGGAATTCTCTGAAAATGCTGTTATTCGGGAAATCAGAGCTCCCTCATCTTAAATTTAAAAAAAAACATTTAATTAGATTTTGTAGCATATTGTCTAAGCAGTCATATTGCTTGAGATCAGTTTCCTTACAGAAGTTTTCCAGCTGAAGTAGAGCAATTTTGGGAAAGGAATTTAATGACCAAATAAGGGTCTTATAGTCTGAGAGATATATCCATGGGCTAAACACATGCTTTGCATATGGGAATCTAAGATTTGTTCTTTAGTACCGCATGGTCCACTGAGCACCACCAGGAGCCACCCTGAACCTAGAATCAGGAGGAGCCTGTGAGAAGTACCTGAGGTTGGATAAAAATAAATAAATAAAAAGAATAGATTTTCAAAACTAATTATCTTAGGCAATCACCAATAGGAGGAGAAAAAGACCCATGCTATAGGGAAGCCCACACATGATAAACAAAGGCTGGAACAGATACACACGAGTCATGACACAACAGGGCCCGGAGGAAGGAAAATCAGACACAGCAACAAGAGCATCACTGGCACATCGCTTGTACATGCAGAAATTTGTAGCTTTGCTATCGCCTTTTAAAATTATATTCAGAAATAAACTTATACATCAAAGAAATTTAAAGGTTATTGGCAAGAATAATAAAATCATGAATTGCAGCATGGCAAGAGAATAACTATCCATCTTGAAAGCAAATACACAGACTTAGAAGAAAAGACTGTGAGCAAATATAATTTTCTTCTCTCAATTAATCTATCTTTTCTAGCCAGATTCACAAATGGTACAATCAGACCACAGAAGAAAGTAAGTCTAAACATTCACTACTAATCATCAAACAGGTTTAAAGATTCGCTGAGATCACTTTGACACCTTTGGTTTTGTAACAGACAATAAATTATGGGTTAGTTCTTTGGAAAACAGGCTATACTTACATTTTAATTTTAGAAGATTAAGCAGTGGTTACAAATATGTAACCACATAATCTATAAATATTGCAAGGAACAGGTAAGATTTTCCTAAGTTAAGAAGAGCAAGAAGAGCGCCACACAGTCTACAGGGATACATCAGGAAGAAACGGGAAGATGACACTTACGTGAGAGAGCAGAGCCAGCTCATGGTGACATGTGACAGCATTGCGGTTGGCTTCCATGAAATACCTCTGCGTGCGCCTCCGCTCCCTTTCCAGCTTCTTCTCCAAGGTCAGCTGTGACGTAGACAAGCTGTCTAAATACTTCATCATTACATCTGATATCATCGAGCTGACTTCGACAATATCTGGCCGGGCTTCTGCATCAGGAGTGAGGCACCTAGGAGGAGACAAGCAAATGAAAACAGGCTGGCCTGGCCGGGGACCGGGACATGGGGTGTGGCAGGACGAGGTTACACACACTGCACAGTATGTGCTCCACGCAACCAAGAGAGCCTGGAGTAAGGTGGACAACGGCACAACTTTGAATTCCAGACTTCTCCAAAGGCAACAGGAAAGGTGGGTTCAGGGAGAAGACAGCAGCGTGATCACTGCACACGGGCTGGCAGGGAGTAGACGAAAAGTCCAAGCCAGAAGCTCTGCCTCACACTCAAGACTTCTCAAGTCTCACACTCACACTCAAGTCTTCTCCTGTGCAACGAAGTTATTTCATAAAATCGATACCAGCCCACTGACCACAGAACTCATGATAAAAATCCAGCAATCTAGACTCTGATGTTCCCCAATGATGTCTCAAAAGGAAGCATGGCTTCCAGGTTCGCGCAGTCACATTTCACTTCTTCCAGTACAGAGGCAATACCATCACAATCGATTACTGAGTGTTTTAGGATACAAAGACACAAAAATAAGGAGCCGGAAGGAGAGGACAGCAGGTAAGGCCTTTGCCTGGCACATGACTGACTGGCTCAGCTGCTGACACCTCACAGGATCCCCCAAGCTTGCCAAAGATGACCCCTATGTGCAGAGCCCAGAGTTAAACCTGAGCATAGCCAGCTGTGATCCAGAAAACAAAAATGGATGAATAATAACTAAATGAAATAAATACAGTTATTTACATTTTTAAGTATTTGTATCCATAGGGGTTTACTCCTGACTCTGTAAACTGGGATCACTCTTCCCAGGGTTAAGAGTACCATAAGGGGTTCGGGGAATGGAAGTCATGTCATCTGAGAGGAAGGCAAGCACTTTACCATCTGTACTATCTCTTCAGTCCTATAATTATATTTCTAAGCAACTAGTTTAATACATTGCATGCTAATATTTTTTGCAATTTTGTTTCAACTAGTGAACTAAAGGGAGTATTATTTATGTCACTAAATACTACTAGCTAAATACTACTAGCAGGCTATTACAGATGCCCAAGGAACCAATGATCAAGAGTACTGATTAGCATGCTTTAAAATTTTCTTTCACTCAGGGTTGGAGCAATAGTAAAGTGGGTAGAGTGCTTGCAGTGCATGCAGCTGGCAGAGTTCAATCCCTGACACTCATGTCCCCTGAGCACAGCCAGGAGTGGTCCCTGATTGAAAACCCAGGAATAAGCCCTGAGGACCACCAGGTCACTCACTGTAGTATTTTGTATCTCTATTTTTTGTTTGATTTTTTATTATTTGATGGGGGGAGAGGAGCACACCCAGATCTGCCCAGGGCATACTTCTGGCTCTGCTCTGTGCTCAGTGATCACTTCTGGCAGGGCTAGAGGGAACCATATGGTGCGCTGTGCCACATGTCATGTAAGACAATGTCCTACCCTCTGTACTATTCCTATAGCTCCACTTTATCTCTTTTTAAAAAATTCAAATTCTTTCTGCTTTTCAATAAAACTTAATTTGTTTGGACTCTAAGAGAAAGAGCTAAATGTTTATGATTCAGCAACCATAGTACAACTGTCACCTAAATTGATATCTCCGGGCAAGGATAAAGAATTATTGCCTGCAATGATTCTTCAAAATCAAAGGCAAAATAAACACAAGTTAATTTGTTTACCAATTACTCCTTTTATCAAATTTATTAACTATGGCTATAATAAACCAAGTCAGAACTTTATCATGTTCTTCATCCTGATGCTCTTTAAAGCTCTACAGCAACAGTCTTACCCTACGGTTATGATAGGCACTTAGACATCATCTAAATTCATATTTAACAAAGATCCATCTATGCATTTATTATGTACAAAGAAAGGCAAGAGATTGTGGAAACAGGGCCAGCAACATAATTGCAGGGGAGTTAGCAGCATGAAAACAAGGTCCCAGTTTGCTGGTCTTTAGGGCTTCCCCTTCCCACAGTCAAGCATCCTAAAAACAGATGATCAGGGCTGGAGATGGGAAATAAAGTTGGGCAAAAGGCCTGTGCAGAGTTGCCCACTAAGTCACACTGGGCTGTCTTGGCTGTCAGCCTGGACAGGGATAGCCTCTTCTTTGCCCTGCTCCAGGTCAGAGCAGGACACACGGTCCGACTCGACCCTCTCATTGCCTGTTCACCCACCTCTCCCAAGAAGAGTGAAGACAGAACACAGCCCTGCTCACATAGACAATCCCTCCAGCAGGTGGAGAGAACAATAGCAATGATGGGGACAGGGGGAAAGACGCGGAGGCTGGGCAGGGAGCCCCAGGAGCTACAATCAGAGGTAGGGGAATGGGGGGTTCCAAACCACCACCTCTGAGCATGCACCTGATCCTGTCCTCCCGTTGTTCATCGATTTGCTTGAGCAGGCCCAGTAACGTCTCCATTTTGAGACTTGTTGTTACTGTGTTTGGCATATCGAATACATCCCGGGTAGCTTGCCAGGCTTTGCTGTGTGGGCGAGATACTCTTGGTAGCTTGCCAGGCTCTCCGAGAGTGGAGGAATTGAACCCAGCTCGGCCAGGCTGGCTGCATGCAAGGCAAATGCCCTACTGCTGTGCTATCGCTCCAGCACCTGATCCTATCTGACATTATTTCTAAAACACAAATTCAAAAAGAAAATTATAAGGACATTGAATGAGGAGCCTTAAGCCTAAAGCACAGGAGTGTCCTGCCTGCACATTTGATCATACACATTTAAAGCAACCTTGTGTGGCAAGGACATAGTTGGATTTAAAGTTTCTGACTTTTGCTCCTAATTATAAAAGCTCGGTTGTTGAATTTTACCTTCTAATTAAAAAGGTTCTTCATCTATCCTCACTTAATTAGAGAAAGAGATTAAAGGTGATAAAAATGGCTAGTTTCCCGACAGTATTACTTGTGATTTTATGTGAGTGAAAACAAAAAACACCATTTAAGTCTCTCATTAGTGCTGATAATCTAAACAATTGGTCCGTAGATGTTTAAATTGATTGAGATAATACTAGTAGTTGAATTAACAGTTTAGATTTTTTTGTTAATGAAGAAAGGGGTAACTAAGCACATTTTGCAAATTATCTAGTTGTATATTATAGTAAACGCTAACAAGAATGGTCTCTATTTAGACATTACCTATTTTTCGCCATCCTAATGTCACTCCCCTTCCTGTACCTGCCTTCTTTGGAAGGACATACTGAGGAGGTGCAGTTCAGTACTGTAATTACACATGCAGATTCTGGGCCATTCATTCTTATAAGATTGTTCATTTCTTACCAACCCTGATTTTGGTCAAGCCATCTATAAAAATGGGAATATCATAATATCTACCTCATCCAGGCAGTGTTGCAACTAAAGAAAATTATCTCCATAAATTTTTCTGGAAATCTCTGCAAAATAAGAAGCCTATTATACAAGATTAATAAAATAGAAGCAAGCATGTGTGCATATGCACACACACACACAAATATTCTGTTTTTTCTATATCCACTCCTATATTTCACTAACACAAGTCCCATGGTTTCTGCCCCTAAATATTTAATAAATCCTTAAATATTTTCTGAGTTTCCTTTAAATCCCACAATTACTAGCATTCTTACTATATCTTGCTTGGAATACTAAAGACATCTCCCAAATGACCTTCTCTGTTGTATACTGCAAAGTGATGCCAGGTTAATATTCAGAAACTTGAGTAGATTACCACTCTACTCAGCACTACTCAATGGTCTCTCATGGGCAACAGGACAATGTTAAAATTCCTGGCATGTCATGCAAACACCCTCTTTAAGGCTCTTTTCTCCACAACCTGACCCATCCTTCTCTCTCAACAACACAATGAATGCCCCTCCCAAAAGCCTACTTATTCCCCAAAAGCCTATAACTCTCCTCTACCACTACTTCTTTGCTCCTTTTATTCCCTCTGCTTGAATTTGGGTTTTGTTTTCAGTTTTTTTTTGTTTATGTGCAGTATCTGCCCTTTCCTTAGACCTCTTTACTTATCTCCTTGCTGAAAATCTCACTCCTTTCCACGTATCCATTACGAAATTTATTGGGACACCTACCTCAGACAGACATATTATCTTTTACATGTTTTATTGCAATGCATATGAACGATACATAAAGTTACTATAATATTGTAACATAATTAACTACTTCACCACTAAGAATTTGGAGTTCTGAAAGAAGGAGCAAGTTTCCGCCTTCACCATGATCTCCCCAATAAGTAAAAGGAAATGTAGATTTTGGTAGGTAGCTTTTGGGGGAGAGAAAGGAGGGAGGAAAGAAGTAAAAGAAAGGAGGGAAGGAAGGAGGAAAGGAAGAATGGAAGAAGGAAGGAGGGGGGGAGAGAAAGAAGAAGGGATGAATAGGAAGGAAGGAGGGAGGGACAGAGGAAGGAAGGAAGGAAGGAAGGAAGGAAGGAAGGAAGGAAGGAAGGATGGATGGAAGGAAGGAAGGAAGGAAGGAAGGAAGGAAGGAAGGAAGGAAGGAAGGAAGGAAGGAAGGAAGGGCAGGCTACCCTAACATCTGAAAATGTACATGCCCATAGTCCAGTATATTTGGTCACAGACTTTTTAGACTCCTAGTAATATCTACCAGAAGATTTATTTTAGCCTCATTATCCTGAAATGCCTCACTGCTTAAATAGTTTAAAAGAAATTCTCGCCCACCTGAAGCCCAGTGGGGAGACTTGTCCGTCCAGCTCCACGGGACCGCCCACTAGTCCATCGGCCCCTCCCCTCCAGGTGGGTAGGGGGTGTCCAGCCGGGATGCGCTCCTGCCCTCCAGCCGCGCCTCCATTCCCGCCCCCATCCCCGCCCAGCGGGAAAACTGTCCACCACTCTTCCTTCATTCCAGGATCCTGGGTGGGAGTGGCCTGCGACTGGCTAGGGGCGTGGCCACCAGGAAGGGGGCGTGGCCTCCCACAGTGGGCGTGGCCTTCTCCTTAGCGGGGAGCCGCAGTTATATCACTCACATCAAGCACTCAGGACTCTCATCTCACAA